GTGTAGAACTGGGATAAAGACAGACATAGAAGTGGAATAGAGCAGAAATCCCAGGAATAAATCATCACATATATAGCCAGATGATTTTCAACAAGAGTACCAAGACCATTCCATGGGGAAAGGACAATCTTTTCAGCAATGTGCTAGGAAGACTGGATATCCACATACAAAATAATGAAGCTGGGCTCTTACCTGAAATGATATACAAAAATTAACTCAAAATGATCAAATACCTAAGTTAAATTCTATAGAATTTCTTATATTTTTAGAAGAAAAAATAAAGGGAAAGCTTTGTGACACTGGAGTCAGCAACAGTTTCTTAGATATATCATCAACAAATGAAGAAATAAATGAACTGGCTGTATCAAAATTAAAAACATGTATGTACAACTACATTGTCAAGAGACTCAAAAAACAAACCACAGAATGGAAAAAAAAATATGTGCTAATCATATATCTAATAACAAAATTAATACACATAAAAAATAATTCCTATAAGAAACAACAACACAAAAACAAAACAACCCTACTGAAAATGAACAAAGGGGGCTGGGGATGTGGCTCAAGTGGTAGCATGCTCACCTGGCATGCGTGCAGCCTGGGTTCGATCCTCAGCACCACATACAAACAAAGATGTTGTGTCCGCTGAGAACTAAAAAATAAATATTAAAAAATTCTCTCTCTCTCTCTCTCTCTCTCTCAGTCTCTCTCTTTAAAAAAAAAAAATGAACAAAGGACATAAATAGACATTTCTCCAAGGAAGATATACTTAATGACCAATGAGTACACGATTGTCAACATATAAGATGATAACATTACTAATTGTTAAGGAAATGTCAATCAAAACCACAATCAGGTATTGTTTCAAACAGATTAGAATGGTTATTATCAAACCAACTGAATATAAGTTCAGGCAGGATGTAGAGAAAGTGGAAGCTCATGTATTGCTGGTGGGAATGTAAAATGGTATGGTTATTATGAAAAAAATATGGCAATACCTTAAAAAAAGATAACCAGGATTAGCATAGGATCCAGCAATACCACTTGTAGGTATATATCCAAAAGAACTGAATTCAGGGACTTGAAAATATCATCTGTACAACAATATTTGTAGCAGCATCCACAACAGCCAAAAAGTGTAAATAATCCAAATGAACAAAATGTGGTATACACTGAATATATTATAATGAAATACTATTCAGCTTTAAAAGAAATGAAATCCTGATAAATGCTACAGTATGAACTTTGAAAACATGCTAAGTAGAATAAGCTAGACAAAACAACAACAACAAAAAGATCAAATATTGTGATTCCACCTATGTGAGGTACCTAGACTAGTCAAATTCATGGATCCAGAAAGCAGAATGGTTGTTACTAGAGGCAGGGGGAGGGGAAAATGGAAAATTGCTATTTAATGAGCATCAAAATTTCAGTGTGGGATGATGAAAAAGTTCTGGAGATGGGTAATGGTGATGACAGATGATTGCACAACAATGTTCAAAATATTTACTGCTACCAAAGTGTACACCAAAAAATTCCACCAGAAAACTTCTAGAATTAGTAAATGAATTTAGCAAAGTAGCAGGATACAAAATCAACACCTATAAATCAAAGGCATTTCTATGACAAATCCTCTGAAAAGAAAACAAGGAAAACTAACCCATTTACAATAGCATCAAAAAAATATTTGGGAATCAATCTAACAAAAGATGTGAAAGACCTCTACAATGAAAACTACAGAATGCTAAAGAAAGAATTAAAGAAGACCTTAGAAGATGGAAAGATCTTCCTAGTTCCTGGGTAGGCAGAATTAATATTGTCAAAATGACCATACTACCAAAAGCACTGTACAGATTTAATGCAATTCCAATCAAAATCCCAATGACATTTCTCATAGAAATAGAAAAAGAAGTCATGAAATTCATCTGGAAAAATAAGAGACCCAGAATAGCTAAAGCAATCCTTAGCAAGAAGAGTGAAGCAGGTGACATCACTATACCATCTTAAACTATACTACAGAGCAATAGTAACAAAATCAGCACTGTATTAGCACCAAAATAGACTTGTAGATCAATGGTACAGAATAGAGGACACAGAGACTAACCCATATAATTACAGTTATCTTATATTTGAAAAAGGTGCCAAAAACGTATATTGGAGAAAAGATAGCCTCTTCAACAAAAGGTGCTGAGAAACTGGAAATCCATATGCAACAAAATAAATTAAACCCCTCTCTCTCACCATGAACAAAACTCAACTTAAAGTGGAACTAAACCAGAGACACTGCATCTATTAGAAGAAAAGTAGGCCTAAATCCCCATCATGTTGGAGTAGGACCCAACTTCCTTAATAAGACTCCTATAGTGTAAGAATTAAAACCAAGAATCAATAAATTCAAGCTAAAAAACTTCTTCTCAGCAAAAGAAACAATCAATGAGGTGAATAGAGAGCCTTCATCTTGAGAGCAAATTTTGACCACTCATATATCAGATAGAGCACTAATCTTTAGAATATATAAAGAACTCAAAAATCTTAACACCAAACAACCAAATAACCCAATCAATAAATGGGCCAAGGAACTGAACAGACACTTCTCAGAAGAAGATATACAACCAAACAACAAATATATGAAAAAAATGTTCAACATCTCTAGCAATTAGAGAAATGCAAATCAAAACTACTCTAAGATTTCATCTCATTTTAGTCAGAATGGCAGCTATTAAGAATACAAATAACAATAAGTGTTGGTGAGGATGTGGGGAAAAAGGCACACTTATACCTTGCTGGTGGGATTACAAACTGGTGCAACTAATCTGGAAAGCAGTATGGAGAATTCTTAGAAAACTGGGAATGGAACCACCATTTGACCCAGCTATTCCACTCCTCAGTCTATTCCCAAAGAACTTAAAAGAAGCATACTACAGGGACACATCCACATCAATGTTCATAGCAGCACAATTCACAATAGCTAAACTGTGGAACCAACCCAAATGCCCTTCAGTAGATAAATGGATAAAGAAAATGTGGATGGAGCTGGAGAATATAATGCTAAGTGAAGTAAGTCAATCCCCCCAAAACAAATGCTGAATGATTCCTCTGATTTAAGGATGCTGATTCATAATATGCTATGGGTGGGGGGTGGGGAATGGGAGGATTAAATAAACTCTATTAGACAGGGCAAAGGGGAAAAGGGGAAGGAGGAGAAGGGAAAGCGAATAGGAAAGATGGTGGAATGCGATGGTCATCATTATCCTAAGTACATGTATGAAGACACAAAGGATGTGACTCTACTTTGTGCACAACCACAGATATGAAAAATTGTACTCTACATGTGTAATAGGAATTGTAATGCATTCTGTTGTCATATAACAAATTAAAATTTTAAAAAATGGTTAAAATAGTAAATTTTATGTTAAGTATATTTTATCAAAAAATTAAAAGCTTTAAAATAGTGATATATATAAAATGACTTTTATATTAGATGGGAAAGATAGGTTTCAAAATTGTGTACATGGTAAGATTACTTTTTTGTTTAAAAATAAACAAACATCTTCCCTACATGAGCTCAAGAAAGGCTCTCATTTTCTCTTGGGGGCAAGAACTGTGATCCCTATCTGTGAGAGAGGCTGAGAAACTGAGTGTTTAACTTTGACTCAGCACTCAAAGAATACAAGGGAAGGGCTGGTTGAGAATCGGTAATGACTAAGCCAACTATATATAGTATTTCTAATACCAGAGATGGAGGTCTTGAAATCTTGCTCTATTCCTCTCCCTTTTGATGATTTAGAAAGTGAGACCAACCAGGTCTGCTGGGGTACAAAGCATGAAAACTCTTATGCTTTTCTCAAGACTTACACTACTGCTAAGTGACAAACCAGACAGCATTATTCAATTCAACACTGTTTGGAATGAAAATCCCATTTAAGGGTTTCAGTTTGGGTAACGTTAATCTGCCCACCTACTTGTCCTCTACACTGGGGCAAAACACCTTGGATCAAAAAAGCCTTCAGAGAGAGTATTTAACATGTTTGTCCTAAAGAGGTATTATATTAGCTTATTTGGCTCACAGCAGTCCAGGCACTATCCTCTGAGAACTAAGCTAGACTGACCGCATTTGCATGAGAAAGAATGGTATGAAATATGACTTAAAGTAAAAAAAAAAAAATTAGAAATCCAACATTGACAGAGAAGGAAGAACTCTGGGATGGAAGTCAGAAGAGAGAGTGTGGGTTCAGGTTCTACCACTGATCACCCTCGAATTCATTCATGTCATGGCATCTGTGTATCAGGCGGGCCAAGCACTGGAGGAAGGGGGTTGGGCGGTGATGATGCTAAGTAAATGATAGGATATTTTACTTGGACAAGCTGTTTATAGTTTTATAGTCTCTGAGCGTTTTCCACTTGTAACTCAAAAGATATTACTGTTAATAGGACATATGACCGAGAACTCAACTTTGGTGCCGTTCATGTTTTGGGGCTGATAATTCCTTCTTTAGTCCAGGGCTGCCTGTGCATTGTAGAATGTATAGTGTCATTCCTGGCCTCTACCCTTTACATGCTAATAGCACCCCACCTCTTCCAGTTATGACAGCTGAAACTACAGACATTACCAAATGTCCTCTGGGGACTGCCCATTTGAGAACCTTTGAAATTGGGTGACATATATAAAAACATTTTTAAAAAAGCATTAAGCTCTGGATAAATTTAAGTCAGTATTAATGTAAATCCATTTGCAAGATTACTTGTCAAAAAAAAAACTTTAAAAATTTTGTTTCCTTAGGAATGTTTTATTTGCTATTTTTATATATTTTGCCTACCATTAAAAGTCCTTGAGGGCTTTTTGGTTAATTTTCTTTACCCAAACAAAAGTATCTTCATTACAACATACTTTTCAAATGTATCATTATACTAACATGACAGTCGGAGTCAAATATAATTGCCGTCTCTACAAAGCAAAAATTTTATTTTCTTTATCCCAAATCAAAGTGCTCTGTGCCTACCTTTTAAGGACAAGGGACTGGATCTTGTGAATTCTGTATTTGATGGCCTGTGCTGTTTATGAACTTCCAAGTACTCCTTAACTCTTGAAAGAATGGTTTCTTTTAACAGCAAACAGACTTCCTAAGATAAATAAAAAATTGGATATAATTTTCTAATTTAATGCAATGCAAAAAAGCTAACAATATACACATTAAAATGCTGAACATTTCCTTCTGCTTGCTTTTTAATTTAGCTATGAATATTGAAAGAAATGTTATAGAGTGGTGGATATTATTGCAGACTTAAACATGCTACCAAAGTTTGTTTAAAACCATAATGCTGGTTTATAATCTCAAAAATTATTTATTTCTCTCTGCTTCAATTTCACAAATCAAAAACAAAGACAAAAAGGCTTATTACTTCAGTTTAAAAATCAGGGTGATGTGGTGATAAAATTGGTGAGATGAAGTATGCTTTCAAATAAATATCAGTCAGTTATTATGATGAATAGAAGAAACAATGGAGCCAATGCTGCTGGCAACAAGGGCCCCAGGGACATGCCCACTGTGGCCAGGCAGGAGAGTGTAGACAGGGAAGGAGTCAGGAGTAAGAACATATTCACATATTGTTGGTGCAAAAGTCATAGGGTCCCAGACCACAGCTCAGGCAATAGGAGGCAGCCACCATGGTTCTACCACACTACAGTTATATCTATAAGCATAGCATTCCCAGATCTTCTAACATGTTTGGGAAGAGCCAGAAACAGTGACTTTAACATAGAAAAGTTTCCTGTTTTCAAACTCATTTCAATTTTTTTTTTAATGTAAACAACCTTATTCATTAGGTTCTGGCTTCAAGTTTAGAAGTCTACTGAAGAGAGTTAGTTGAGCACTGGATTAAACAGAACTGGAAATAGTAATTTGATTTTCTTCCATATTCATGCTACTAATATCACATATACCCATTTGCTTTTGTTAAACTGTACAATATTTATCTATTGATGAAAATAATTTAACTTCTCTTATTTCTATAAAGTAGATTAATATTTAGTAAGTAACAATAACAGAGGAATTTAATTAAATTTCAGCATGCCATAAACACAACCCAATTTCTAGCTATTGGTTTGTATATTGGAAGACATTCAGTGTAGTCCTGCACTACTAGGATAATGTACTGTAGTGCAGGGAAAGAGAGGAAAACTATACATAAAAATGATGCCTAAGTACTGATAAATCCTGGTTCAATTCCCAAAGACGCTACAGCAGGCTCAGAGTTGCAGAGGTTACCTCAAACCTGTTTCACTGGTTTCTTACAATGCCATCTCTGAGAATCTTCATAAATTAAAACATTAACAAATTTTAAGCTGCTCTGAAAAGCAACCATAGCAAAACTTTTCCTTTATTGCAAATGCCTATATCCTTTAGACAGTATATAAAACCCTTGATTTAACTAACAAATAGAAGTTTCTAGATAAAATACAAACACTGGTCTCCTCTCTCCTGCTTTTTATTTAGCAGCCCAAAGATGCAGTGCTTTGTGGATAGAGAGATATCCATTTACAGTTGAGTGTTTTGGCATTGTTCACACAACAGAAAAGCAGCCTTGCCTTGTACTGTTGTTTTAACAATTAAAGAATTTTACTTCACATGCAGGGTTCAACTATGACTGAGCTAGAAAATATGTGAAAGACATACATGGAAACAAGGATTGTTAAAATTTGGCCATAAATACCCTATAAGGCTAGAACTAAAAATAGTATGAAAAAATAGAGCATAGGCCTATACACATAAAGTTTCTCCTTATAGTTCCAAAGCTGTCCTTTGTGAATCAGGTTTCACAAATGGAAGGACAACCGTGTGCAATGTGGTCACAATACCTAGTTAACTGACCATGCTGCACTTACAGAAGCATTCTCTGCTGAATCAGAACAATGCATGAAAAGAAAAACTGCCAACAATATGACATTTTAGGGGCAGAAGAAAAGACCAAGTTAAAATCAATAAGGAACCAGGAGAAACATAAGGCTTCTCTAGGGGCTTTACATTTGCTTCCTCGAGTTTACAAATGGAACTGTTTTAGTTTGACTGTTTGGGTACAAAGACTACTTGTGCTGGACTCAAAATAAATATATGTTTAATACATATAATTAAACTTCTTTTCTTAGACTTTCACTGTAGAAAGTAGCTGTTAAATGCACTCAAACTGGTTGCCCATGAAATCCCAACTGTGAGATAGTCTAATGATAAAAATGATGAAAGCACTAATAGGGCAAAGTCATGATTCGTCAATTAGCTCTTCTCCTTTCTTAAACACACAAATTATCCAGAAGCAATTTTAATGTTGGTGAACATGTGTTATAAAGGTACAACTTAAAAGTAGCAGCAGTCAGACATGTACTTTGATGTGAGAGAAAAGCTCAGCTTGCTGGCATGATCTCCCTTGCAGCTGCCACTGCAGCATTGCTCTGCAGGTCCTGTTGTGCACTGCACAACTTTGCAAAGTCATGCTTGGCTGCCCTGAACTAGGTACTAGTTGGAGCAATGCACCTGCATGTGGCACCTTGAAGAAACCTCACACTTGGCCTGGGAGGTGACTCACATACCCCTGGCTTTGAAACATTCCATATCAACTATCTCGTGGGCAAAAAATGATTAAGTAGCAACATGAAAGGTCTAAGGCCAAAGAGGTAAAGCTGAGAGAGAATGCAGGAAAATCTGGGCCTGGAATAGTGGAATCTAGGACACTATTTTATTAATTAAGCCAGAAGCTTTCCAGTTAAAGTCCCTTTAGGTGAAGTATTAGTCACTTTAGGGAAATGAATTTTTTAACAATTAAAGAATTTTACTTCACATGTTAAATCATGTAGACTGCTAGTAAGCTAAAGCTTGGAATTATGTGAAGGTGGGTGGCAGTAAATGTTGGCCTGCTCGATATTAAGTTTTGAAGAGGACAGTCCATGGTTAATTAATTATCTGAATGATAAATTTCATCCTACTGAACCTTGTACCTTTCTTCTCACATCTTTAGATCACCATATATCCTTTGCAAATGACAGCAAAGTCCTGATGGTATTATCCTTTGACTGAAAATGTATAATCCTATAATTTTGGAGGAGGGAAAGCTTTAGTGATTTCTTAAAGTTGGCTAAAACAGTTATGAAAGGAAAACTTTTTTAAATTTTAAGCAACTATTACCAGTTTTTTCATATAATATTGCCTTTTAATAAAACTTACTTTTATTTCTAGCTCTAAAAATTGACAAATGAATATCATGGAAAAAACAAAGTACAATGGTACTTTGAAAATTATATTAAAGTCACTACCTCTGCTCTTTGGTAAGCAAAGGTCTGGAGAAGGAAGCAAAGTATGTGATAACTAAATGCACCTTCTAACCCTCCACCATAGGAACAGGAAGGGGGAGGACCCTACAGTAAGTTAGAACAGAGAGGTGACTTAGGCAGTGTCTGGTCAAACCTCTTCATTTGCAGATGAGGAGGCTGAAGCATGAAGAGGTCAAACATCATATAGTGGATTCCTGATAACAAACAGGATTAGGATACTATCCTCTGCTCAGGTGGAAATTTGAGTATAACTTCCAACTCCCCCAAATTTAATTACTAATAACCTACTAGTGACTGGAAGATTCACAATGACATAAAACAGTCAACACAAATTTTATACAGTGTATGTATTATATGTGGTGAAAAATTCTGGAAAACCCCAGGAAATCACTTCGTATTAGGGACAGGCAATTTATTAGAAAAACAAATTGTTCATGTGGAGACCACCACCTCACACAGTATTCTCAGCAGATATAATACCTGTACTCACTGGAATGGCAGTTTGTGAGATGCAATAGCACAGAACGCACCACAGTTAACCTTGTACAGTTGTGAATTAAAACTGCACTTTTACAACTGCTTTCATCTCTCTCAACTGCAAATGGTGCCAGGTATGGTCTGTATTTGTGTGTTTGACCTCTGCTAAAACTTAACTTTTTATAATAGATTTGTATATATTTTATGGTGGTAAATAATAAAATAGACTATTGTCTTACATTTATTTCATGTGTTCATGACACAACTTTTTCTTAATTTTTTTTCAATATTCCAAGGCTACAGAGTTTGTCTGATAGTTTTTTCAAACTGTCATAAATCTCCAAAAGTAAATTCCACATGAAGGAGACCTGTGCAGTTTGAACATGTGTTGTTTCAGGGTCAATTACATGTCCATACTTGACTATTTGCTTTACTGACTGACCAACAGGAGAGAAGGGACAAATATCTCCTCCCTTGTGAAAAGCTCAAGACAATGAAAGGCTGGTAGAAGATAAAAGATGGGGTTTAAGACGAGTGTGAAAGACCAGCCTTGAGTTAACCACCATGCCTATTGCAGGTTCCCAATCATCTGGAATAGTTTCCCCTTCTCCTTTTCCTCTTCTTCCTCCTTTTACCAACTCCATTTCCTCATCCTCTTCCTCCCCTTTCTCCTCTTATTTTTTTTTTTTTAATATAGAGAACTCTTCTCCCCAAAACAAAGAGGTGTACAATTTTTGGTTTAAATAATAGAATTAAGAATGGGGATACAGCTCATATAGAGTGTAAGCACAAGGCCCTGGGTTTGATCTCCAATACTGCAAAAGACAAATTAAAATAATAAGAATAGCACATGAAGTGTATGGACTTCTGAAGGTAGGGAAAAGCTAACTATGTATGTTTCTGTTAATGAGGATCCAAGCATTATTTTTTTTTAAGTGTTAAACACTGCTCAACTTTTTTTTTTCCCTCACAAATGAAAATGAAAGTTGAAGAGAGCTGATATCTCTTCTAGTAGCTGGAGTTACTTAGGGATAATTGCATTTAAATAATAAAAATGTTGCTATACCTCTTTCTTCTGTTCAGAAAACCAGCTGGTATCTTTGTTTGAACCTTGTGGCGATACATGAAGATCCACCAGTACAGCAAAATTCCCACACTGAAAGACATTAATGGCAAAGTCAATGTCTGTGCAGCTCATGACCAACAATGAAAGAGAATCTCACAAATTCCTATGTGGTTGCTCATTATGAAATGGTAACCAAGTAAACTAATGGACAGAAATCTTAATATGGGACAGGGCTATAGGTCATAACCTATTATTTTTTCTTCAGTTTAAAATTTATAGTGGAAATGCTACAAAGAACTACAAGGTTGGTCAGGACAGATATGACAAAATACCTATCTTTGGACCACACCCTGAAAGGGAATGCCCAGTGTTAGTTGGCAGACTATCAAACATTGAGGAAGTTAAATAGGTTAGTACTAGGTAGGCTTCAGGAAAGAATGATTCTGTGCAAGGCCGGGGAATTCTTCCTTCTACTAGGAAAGAAGAGACATAAAGGATTGGCTGGGACAGACATCTTAGGATAGAAACAGAAAAGTGGAAGAATGAAAAGGAAAGAAAGAAAGTAGGTAGTTGACGTCAATTATCAAAATTAAAGACTGTTTCATTAAAACATGCTATAAACTATGTAAGCCTGGCCTCTAATTCCACTGACTAGTACTATATAGCACTTTTGGGAAAAAAAAAAATTCTCTATCTGCACTGTTCATCAGCATAGCCAGTAGCCATATGTGGCTAGTGGGCGCTCACAATGTGGCTGTTAGGATTGAAAAGCTGAATTTCAACTTAATTAAAATCACCGCATGTGGCTACTGCTTTGTCCTGGATGGCACACCTATAGGTCCCATGAAAAGTTGGAGCCTTTTAAGTCCTTGCCCCTTGTGAGTAATTTCTGAGAGTCACAAGGTAATTGTGAACAAATTAATCTGAAAAGGAATAGACAACCAAGGCCGTAGGCTGGGCATGTCTAAGATACCTAGAGGTTTGGTTTACAAACCACAGGGCAAAGTCATTTTTGCACTTTTCTGGCTAAACAGCTTCCTCCCCTTAATTCTGTACTATAGTTCCATGGAATTAGGATCTAAAAAGCACTAAATATTGAAAGAAAAACTGTTAAATTGGACACTGTCAAATTAAAAGCCTGTGCTCATAAAAAAATTAGTGAAAATGAGTATGTAAGCCTCAGACTAGAAAAAATGTATTGATATATACATATATCTGACATAAAAACTGGTATCAAAAACATGTAAAGAAGTCCTACACATTAATATTAAAAAAGAATGAGTATCTCAAGCCTGAAAATATACTTCATAAATAAGATAAATGAATGGTAATAAGTACCTGAAAAAAGAATTGAACAGTATTAATTACCCAGCAAAGGCAAATTAAAACCACCAAGAGAGACACCTATAGCACTCATCAGAATGACTAAAGTTAAAAATACTGGCACAAAACCAAATGTTGGGAAGGACATAGAGCAACCCAAACTCTTACACATTGCTAGTGGAAACATAAATTGTTCAGCCAGTTTGGCAAATCATTTGCAGTTTCCTGTAGCTAAATTTATATTTATTAGCTGACTAAATCAACAATTCCACTCCAGGTATTTATCCAAGGGACAAGAAGCTTATGTGCATACAAAGATACAAAGGCAAATGGTCATGGAGGTTTTTAACACATGATAACTAAAACTAAAGACAGCCTAAAAGCCTATCAACAAAATAAACACTTTGGTATTGACACAATGGAATGCTGCTCACCAAACTATTGATACCTTCAACATGGATTCATCTTTAAAATACTGCATTAAGCAAAAGAATACATACTGTGTGATTACATTTATATAAAATTCTACACAGCAAAACCAACGTAAGATCAAAGCCATGGGAACGATGACTGTTCAGAGAGGAACTGGCTTAGAAATTGCACAAAGGAACTTTGGTGATGAGAATATTCTTTGTCTTGATAGTCCATCTTAGGTGTACACTTAAAATCAGTTCCTTTCACTGTATGTAATTTATATTTTTAACAAATTTTTAAACAGGTGTAAAGTGCATCTGTATTTGTTGGCAGTTATTTAAAATATAGGTATTGTGATGCTGAAAATGGGGTATTTGGTCTCTTAAGATACTGAACAGTACTGTGGCCCACTGAACTGCACAGTTTAGTGTCTTGCAACCTCTGTTTTATTTTAACGAAAGAGAACTGAATAGAATATTAGAATGCAATAAAAAATAACGATTTGTCATATGGTAAGGTTGAGGATTATTTTATGAAACCTAAGTATTTGTGTATGGAGTTATGATGGAAAGCCTATTTCTTAATTTGGTCAAAAATTTCTGAAAATCATACTCAAGTGCACAGATAAAATTTCTCCTCAACCATTGATTACAGACAGATTTAACCTTTAAGGAGTATGCTGCCACCAGGTGGAGGTCACAAGCCACAACTACATGATCTTAGCCAGGGGACATTAACTTTTTATGTGCCATGGACCTCTTTAGACAACTGTGAAGTAGATGAAACTTGCTCAGAATGTTTTTTAAATGCAGGAAACATAATACATAGGGTTAAAAAGAAAACCAATTACACTTACAGTTACCAAAATTTGTAACACAAATTTGTGATTCAGTAATGTATATACATGTTGTAGGACCTGGGTCTGGATTTAGTGGCTACTCTAAACTTGAAAGTAGTAAAGAGCATAAGTGTTACATTGAGATTTCTACAACAAGTATAATATGAAAAGAGCTGTAATTTCTAATGATGATAAATGTTGTTAATACCATTGTGTTTTCCATTCCACATTCATAATAAGAGGAAACCTATATTTACTAGAACTTGGTCAAAATAAAGATAACTTTTAACCCATTTGCATTCACTGAAACTCTGAATTCTATCATGGGCCCACTGAGGTTCTAGTGATTATGGAATAAAAGATAAAAGTCCCTCCAGAGCAATAAGATGTGCCTCACACACGTTTTATTAGGGTTTCACATAGCTGATCTTGTCTGTACCTGTACCTGATTCTTGTTTAAATCGAGGTCTCTGCTCCTACTTCATGCACAAAAACAATTCTTAAAGTTGGAGAAAAAAAAGTGAGGCTTGGAAAACAAGTTGTACTGATAGCATCATAGTTACCTTCTAAAAAGAATTAAACAGTATAGTCTGATTTGGTATTTTTCTCACTGCTTCATGACTTTGATCACAAATAACCTGGTGTAATTTGATTATAAATGGACTAATGCAAATGTTGGTCTCTCTTTTTTGGGGGGGAAGGGGGATACCAGGGTTTGAACTCAGGAGCACTGGATCACTGAGCCACATTCCCAGCCTCCCCCACTTTTTGTATTTTATTTAGAGACAGGGTCTCACCGAGTTGCTTAGTGCTTTGCTAAATTGCTGAGCACTGGCTTTGAACTCATGATCCTCCTGTTTAAGCCTCCCAAGCCACTGGGATTACAGGTGTGCTTGGCTCTCTTTTTAAATAAATCATTCAATCTTACTCTAGTGATCAATATTTCCTGGGTTTTTGGAAGACTTCACCACCACCACTAGGCAAGCATCCCCTCTCCACAGTGGGCTCTCCCTGTGCAGCTAGCAGTCCTGAGTTCTACAGCATGAGTTCACTCAAACTCCCACAGTAATAAGAGGTATTGCCCTTTTTGGGAGGATGGGGGGGTACAGGGGATTGATTTCAGGGGTAATTGGCCACTGAGCCATATCTCTAGCCCCATTTTGTATTTTATTTGGAGACAGGGTCTCACAGAGCTGCTTAGCATTTCATTGTTGCTGAGGCTGGCTTTGAACTTGCAATCCTCCTGTCTCAGCCTACTGAGCCACTGGGATTACAGGCATACACCACCGAGCCCAGCTTGCCCTCTCTAAAGTTCCCTACTCCCAAAGCTTTGCTTCTTATCTCCCATGAGTCAATAGAAGTAGAGGGGGGAAAACTGTTACCACAGCCCGGCTTCTCCTCCTCCTTAATTAGAAAGAGAGCATTTCTACTCTCAGAAGATAAACTCTCCAGCTCTTTTCTGAGAGAAGCAACACAGTGAACCAGGCCAGAGTGGGTCATTTTACACAGGCCAAGTTAACTCTCTGACAGCCCAAAGGCTACTAGTAACAGCTTTGTGTTCCATGCACTTGGCTGTACTATGCAACCACAGGCCAGGATCTGGTCTAGCTTCTGCTCCCACTTCACTTGGAGGTTTCAGCCACAGCCCGGGAGACACCCTTAATTCCCCTCTCCCTAGCCCTCCAGATTGGCCGCCACATCTTGTCTGTCGATTTTATCTTTAAAGCATTCTAAAACCTATTTCTTCTCTCTCTCTCTCCACTGCTCACATCATCTCCTACTTTGAAAATTAGAGCCACATCTAGTGGTGTCCTAGATGAACCTTCCAGGTCAGTATCAGGGCAATCTGTCATGCACAAGTCTGATCCTCAGTGAAAGCAACTATTACTGCAGCTCAGAGCACAAGTCAAGCTCCCACCTCCCCACTAACTCCCACTACTCTTCAACAGACATCTGAATTTTTCACCCTTTGCTTAGAATGTGCCTTAATGTCCCCATGCTTGGTAGACTCCTTCTATATATTCTAAAAGTCTAGATATTCTCAAAGTAGAAATATGGCTAGCTCCATGAAGCTTTTCTGAATAATTTTTCTCTATCTCCTTTGAACTGAACACCTTCTTCAGGTGCTTATGAATATCTGCATTAAATGACTAGTCCATGAAGTGGCCTCCCTTGCAAGACTGTAAGCTACAGTGGGGATGCCATCCACATGTCTGTATTCCTAGTGAATAACACAGTAGCAGCTCACAGAACATACTTCTATTTAAAAGAAAGAACAAATGAACAAATGGCAGAATGAGTTAGCTCTGAGTTTCAGGCTAATCACCTACCTCCCTATCTGCAAAGTGAGGACTCTAAAGCCCTTTCTGGGAACAAGCCCATCCTAATCAGCACAGGAGACTGAAGCATTGTAGCAACTTCCTCTCTCCTTATTCTGGAGTGGCAACAACTATGTTATCACCAATGACAACCAGTCATTTTTCAAATTTTGAAAAATTGGAATACAAGGATCCTG